CAACCCTCTTGCGCATGGACACCACGGTATGCATGGTGCCACCAACGTAGGCGTCGAAGTCGTCGTGCGGATCGTGTCCACCCCACTCTGTCTCTTATACACATCTAGATGTGTATAAGAGACAGACACAAAACTGCCACGTGGCACTATTCTCCCATGGAGACAACGAAGACAATCAGCAGGGAAAAGTATCGACGTCAATCTCAGGTAAGTAACCCGCTCCTCACTCTACCACAGATCCTGATCCTCCTCCTTGTCGCATTTAGTCACCTCATGTAGGCAGCGTGGCCAGTGCCACGTCTGCAGTAGAGACAGGTGGCATGCGTAACTCCCTCAAATCTTTGGCATAACACAACTCCCTCGAATCTCTGGCAGAGCGCCACTCTCTCTCGTGCGCGCGCACAAGTGCACTAGCACTTCCACACTCTCATGCGAATAAGCATCTGCCGGAATGGGAGACTGACCAGTCTTTTATGATGCTAGACTGGTCTGCCTGGGCCCGCTTCCAACCGAAATGTGCCTGGCAGCCTGGGACCACATGCCCAGTGCTTGTTGCTGCGAAATGTCATCCCAGTACCTTTCCCATGGTAGCCTCGGACCGCATGCCCACTGCCTGTTGCTGCGAAGTGTAGTCTCAGTACCTTTCCCACGGTAGCTTGTGACCGCATGCCCACTGCCTATTGCTGCGAAGTGTAGTCCTAGTACCTTTCGCATGGTAGCTTGGGACCGCATGCCCATCGCCTGTTGCTGCGAAGTGTAGTCCCTGTACCTTCCCATGGTCTGCTGCCGTTGTAGCCTTTTGGGCCTGCCTTTAGGACTTCTGGTCTGACTCGAGACTTGACCTCTGGGACTGACAATAATTGGGCCTGCGACCTTTGACTATCTGCTGAATGGACGTGACACCTGCTGTGGTGGCCTATCGGGCCTGCCTTTTGGACTTCTGGTCTGACTCAAGACTTGACCTCTGGGACTGGGACTAAGTCTCGAGTCAGACCAAAAGTCCAAAAGGCAGGCCCGACAGGCCACAACAGCAGGGGACACGTCTGTGCAACTGGACAGACGTGACCCCTGCTGCTGTGGCCTTTCGGGCCTGCCTTCTGGACTTCTGGTCTGACTCAAGACTTGACCTCTGGGACTGGGACTAAGTCTTGAGTCAGAACAGAAGTCCAAAAGGCAGGCCCGAAAGGCCACAACAGCAGGGGGCACATCTGTGCAGCTGAACAGACATGACCCCTGCTGTTGTGGCCTTTCGGCCTGGCTTTTTGGACTTCTGGTCTGACTCAAAACTTGACCTCTCGGACTGAGACTAAGTCTTGAGTCAGACCAGAAGTCCAAAAGGCAGGCCCGAAAGGCCACAGTAGAAGGGGTCACGTCTGTTCAGTAGATAGTCTAAGGCCGCATGCGAGTCAGACTAGAAGTCCAAAAGCAAAGGTCAGGCGAGTTAGACCGGAAGTCCAAAAGGCAGGCCCGAAAGGCCACAGCAGCAGGGGTCACGTCTGACGTGACCCTTGCTGCTGTGGCCTTTCTTGGAAACTTGAGTTTATGGCCATAAACTCAAGTGAAAATACATAAATTAAACAATCTCTTCTTTTTCAATTTGAACAAAAATAAATCTACTACATTGTTGTCTATTTTAGATTTATTTTCTGTTTATATAGATATAGATATATATATATATATATATATTCTTTCGTGAGTCAATAGAGAGGTCAAAGTAATCTCCTTTTACCAAAAAAATGACTTGAAAGAACCATTTTTCTCATTACGCCCAATAGGATTCAAACCTACGCTAGAGATTTAGAACATCTTTGTCATATCCATTGGACGATGGGCGTTATAAACGATATAATACGATAGACGGTATATGAATATATATATATTAATGAATAGATGATATGTATTAACCTAACAATATCTTACAGTTTGATTTTCGCTACTAGGAAGCAATGGAATAACACATCCTACGAAGATGAAAAATAATATAATAATACTTAACCAAGGCAATTGATTCATAATAAAAAATATATCTATTTAAAATAAAGAATATTCTTAAAAATTTATGATTTATTCAAAATTTTGACAAATATGTAATTCTTATTATATCATATTTATGTAATTTTAATTATAATTTAGGTTACCAATGGTCCAGGGCCGGTCGTTTCCCCCGAACGTCTCCTCGGACGTCTGTGGCCTGGGTCGTCCGGATTTCTGGACGACGGTTTTTTCGGGGGGGGGGAAAGTAAAAAAAAAAAAAAAAAACGAGGTTGTCTTGCGCTGGTTTAGGGGGCCTCCCTCACCAAATTTGATGTG